AATATCCAAATCGTCAACTTTCCGTTCGTTTGACCGTTAGTTGACACTTCAAAAAAGTTCGAAGTACGACGCTTCATCAATATCCATCGATATCTTCTTTGAAAAACCACCAATATATCGTGGTTCCAAACCCGAGAAGTCCATGACTCCACCATGATGGTATATAATATCTAAATATTCAGTCATATACAATGCCAAAACAAGAAAACAAAGTTGTATTTAAAATGGTAATTTATAAAATTGGATATTATGTATAAAAAACACAAAATATTCTAAACAATACAATTACAACAACAATCCACGCAAACATCACAATTTCCAAATCCTCCATATATTTTTTTGGGCAATGTCTATTTTTTACCCAAACCTTTTCAAACTTCTTTTATTTTACCCAAACCTATCAAAATTCTATTTTTTATCCAAACTTATTGTAACTGATCAAAGTCTGGGCATTCGTTCTGTTACCGTTACTTATTTCGTAACGGAACTCCACGTCAGCGTACACGTAAGCGTACACGTCTGAAATTAATAATTTTAATATTATAAATTAAAAACAAATATATTTATTTATCTCATTAATTGGGTGATTCTTACCCTCTCTTCGTTTGAAAACCCAGAAAGGGCTCGAAGCCTCGCAGCCTCCGTCGTTTGTCTTCGAAGCCTCGCCGTCGTCGTTCGAAGCCTCGCCGTCGTCGTTCGAAGAATCGCCGTCGCCGTTCGAAGAATCGCCGTCGCCGTTCGAAGAATCGCCGTCGCCGCTCGAAGATTCGTCGCCGCCGGTCGAGTCTTGTGCTGCCGTTGTCGGTTTCTTCCCTCCAACATCGTCTCACGCAAGGTAAGATGTTTCTCGGTCTCTTGTCTCTTGAGCAGTAGTGTCGAATCTCAATAGGATTGTTGATTGAGATGTTTCTCCTGTTCTGCGTAATAGAAGCAAGAATCATGTCTGCAAGGTCGAGCTCTGCAAGGAAGGGATGCGCAGGGGACGGATCTGCAAAGGAGGGCTCTTTTAGCTCGACCAACGCAATTAACGATTCAGTGCCTCGTTGTGACCACAAAGTTCTGTGCATTGTTAACAAGTCTGGTACCTCTAGGAATCCCGGAAGGCAGTTTTATTGCTGCCCATATTGGAAGGTAATGTATTTTGGTTTGTTTTGTTGCTTGTTGACCTAAATTCGAAATAGCGATTGCCATTCCTAACTCTTGATTTTTTAGACTGAAGACTGCAGGTTCTTCATATGGGTGGATGTGTATGAAATGCAGATCATGAATGGATCATGGGGTGACTTGTTAGCAAAACTTATTGAATCTGAAGAAATGAATAGGAAGTTGTCAGAAGAGTTGCTTAGGACAAAAGAAGATCGAGCAAGGATGATATCGGAGATGAGCAGATTGAGCAATGTGATTTGTAGTCTAGATAGTAGGATAAGAAGCTTGATGGTCTGTGTAATTTGTGTCATTGCTTTTGTCGCATTATGTAGATTTCAGGGAGTTTGACTGTTGTGGCAAGCAAGTTCAGAATGTAAGTTTGATTGTGGAAACTAAGTTCAGAATGTAAGTTTCACTGCTGTGGCAAACAAGTACCAAATGTAATGTAAGATTGATTGTTGTGGCAAACTAATGTATCTGCGATAGTATTAATTGAGCAAATGTACATGATGGATCGAGCTCTTACAAAATACAATGAGGTTGACCTAAGTCACCACAAAAGGTCAATCTGTTTCATCATGTCCTGCTAACACAACATACTACCTAAAATTCACAACTATAACGGTGAAAGATGTTGCAAGATGAATCGAGCTTTTACAAAATACAAAAGAGGGTGAACAAAGTGAGTCACCACAAAAGCTCATTCAGTTTGATCATCTCATACCCTTCCTAAGTTATCTACGAACTACATAAACATCATACCCTACACAAGTTATCTAGCAACTATACAAAGCTCATTCCTGAGGCTGAGATGGTGGCTGAGTAGATGGCCCTTGAGTATCATCAAACTCAGTTTGTTGAGCTCCCAATCCAGTCGCAGATGTACCAGCTACAGCTTCCAGATCAGTATATATTGCCTCTCCACCTAGAGCATCCCTCACTTCTCTATCAACCACCAAGTTCCTATGAAGAGGCTGACCTGCTCCAGCCTACACCAATCAACAGAATACTTCAGTGAAGAGTGATGCATTCTAACACAAGATAAACTAAAATCAAGCATGCTTACTTGTGCTCCTCTGTTATCTGGGCATTTCCTAGCATTGTGTTCTGTTGACTTGCATACACCACAATGTTGAACCCTCTTTTCAAAGCAAATAAGCAAGTTAGTGTAAATGTAAAAGTATAGCAAACCACAATGTGATTATAAGGCTGGTCAGAGTTGTACCTTAGGTGGATTTGAGCCACCATGCTGCTGCCCTCTTCCTCTCCCCCTGCCCCTTCCTCTCCCTCTTGTAGAATCAGTTCCTCTCCCCCTGCCTCTCCCTCCAGTACCATGATCAGCAGCAGCGCGAGGAGGGTTGGGGCATTTTCTGGAATTGTGCCCAGCAGCCCCATAATTGGTGCAATGCATCACCATTCCCACTCTTTTGGCTGCTGTACCAGTAGGTCTTCCATTCCTATGCAAAGTCGTCTCCAATTCACCTGCCTCCTTTCTTCTTTTCTTCTTCGGACGCCCCGGCATTTTCTTGTAAATGGGAGGGTGAACTGGATAACCATCAGCAGCTGGCCATGCTTGTTGCCCTACCACAGCAGGTATGCTAGCAGAATATGCCTTCCGAACGGTTGATACGAGGAATGAAGTGTGCACAAAGTCCTCCAACTCTTGCCTCATTAACCCTATAGCAGATAGTGCATGGCAACAAGGAATGCCACTCAAATCCCATGCCCCACAAGTGCAGCTACGAGCCTGCAAATTCACAATATATGCTGCTGTCCCATAGGCTGATCCACCTCTTCCCCTGCTTCACTATCTGGACTGTTGACCATTGGAAGATGATTATGCTTCTCAGATGACTCCTCATCACTAGAGTCAGCCACGTTCATTATCTCCTTAGCAAGCCGAATATTCCCCCACTTGTCATCATCCTTTTCAAGCCTTGCTATGTTGTCCGCAGTGTCATTGTCACCCATCAAACCATCATCTTGCTCGACACAATCAACAAACAGAGAGACCTCCTTAGTTTGTGCTGTATCAACCAGCAGACCCTCCACGATTTCCTTGTCGGTCATGATTTCGTGTAATCCATCTGCCATTGTGGCTCCAGGAGTCAAGTACCACATCTTCCGGACTCCGTAGTAGTTCAAGTATCCAGTGCACAAAGACAGAATCCCAAAGTAGGAAACTTCATCAACATCCACCTTGAACTTCTCCGAAAACCCTCCAACATACTTTGGGGAATCACCAGAAAAATCCATTACTCCTCCATGATGGAAATCGAGATTGATATATTTAGTCATCTGTAGCAAAATGTTAGAATTAGGTTAAGGGTTTGAAACCACAAAATCACAGATTAGGGTTCGGGTTTCGTAAAAGGGTTCGAATATGGAGAAGGGATATGGAGAAGGGATTTCGTCTTTGAACCAAAAATTCAGAAGGATTAGGGTTTGAATCGAAAACCTAGAACTATCTTACCTTGCTCGAACAGAGATAGCTGTCCGGAAGAGTTGGAAGCGATTCGGCGACTCGGCCCTTGCTTGCTTTCTCTACAACAATTCGGCGACACTCTGGGTGCTGGGACCGTCGGGGAGAGAGATGGAAGCGCGGCGCTGGGTGCTGGGACCGTCGAGGCAGGGAGGTTTAACAGGCGACGGCATCGCTTGCTGCCTCACCTGCCGGAGAATAGCTTCGTCGTCGGCGATGGAATGGAGAAGGAAAGGAGAAGCTGGGGAGACAGAAGAGGATAGGAATCGAATGGTTCTATTTTTTTTTTACTTTACTAGCCGCGATTATTTACTTTACAAATTTTTTTTTTAATTAAAGGGTACCGCCACGTAGGATTCCACCTCATTCGGACGCTGCTGAGTCAATAAACGTAACAGAACAGTTAACGGTGGGGTAACGATTGGATAAAAAATAGAATTTTGATAGGTTTGGGTAAAATAAAAAAAGTTTGAAAAGATTTGGGTAAAAAATAGACATTGCCCTATTTTTTTGGGGATTGCTATTCGTCGCCCTAAAATTCCTTATTCGTCGCCCTAATTAAAATAATTTTACTCTAATACCCTTAATTCATTTATTAGTAGTTTAAAGTTTAAACACTTAAACCCAAAACAAATTACCAGGAAATAAAATAAAATTGACATCGACTCATCGCCGGCCGCCGCTGTGCGATTTACAGTCCATAACAATGGCGGTGGGGCTCGAGTTAAATCCAAGTTTTGCACTGAAAACAAAACACCAAGACGTCCCCCTGTCCCTGGTCCAATGAATTCCAAGAATCCCCCTTACTTTGTCGAATTAATTCCCAGCAAGATAATCTTTGGGGAAAAAAACCCCTAAACCCTTACTCTGTTCTTTGAGCGCTGTTTATGTTTCTCTTCTCGTCCTTTTTTATTTGGTAATTGGGTTAGTTGTTTGGTGGGGGGACTAGGAAGTGGAATCGTTTCCCCTTTCATGAAGCGAGGAAGATAAGAAGGACTGATGGAAATAATAGATGAGATTGCAGAGGACGGCTTGCCGGAGCGGGCGACGCCTTCTTCTTCGATTTGAGCGGCGGCCGATTTGGATGGGGGATGAAGAAAGGATTAGAGATTTTTTGGTTAGGTTTACAACTGAAATTGGGTTGAGGGTAAATATGTCAATTTGTTGCATTTTAGGGCGATAAAATTTGAATTTTAGGGCGACGAATAGCAATTCAGATTTTTTTTATCTGAAGAGCTCATTGGCAGAAAAAGTTCATATAATTTATATATTAATAATGCTAAAAAGGGAGAGACATTTATTAAAAGAAAGGGGGATCACATAGAAAATCTTTAAAAACGGGGAAGGGAACAAACAAACAAAGCATCTGAACATGAAAGTGGAAGCCGAGGAGAGGGACTGAGGGAGACCTCTCTTCTTGCAGTTGCAGCTGGCTCTTCTTTCCTTTCCTTTCCATCTCTTTCTCTTTGTCTTTCCTTTTCCGAGTTAATTGTTTCCCTCTTCCCGCATCTCTTGCCTCATCTCTCTCCAGTTATTTTTCACTCTCTCTTCCCCCTTGTTTTCAGTGTGTAGGTGGTTTTCTAGCTTGATTTTCTTTTCCCATTTCCCTCTTTGTGCCTCGTTAATTCTTCACCTGGATTTTCTACCCTCAAAAGAGTTCCACCTGAGCACTGACTCCTGTGTGGTCTTGGATCATGTCTGCTGCATCAATGTGAAGCCTTTTTTTCTGGGATCGCACAACCATACAATAAATTTCTTTCTCACAGGTTGGTATCTTTGTATAATTTCCTTGTAAATAGTAATGGGTCAAGTACGTTTTCCGGTGTGTGTTTGGATTGGATTATTCATGTTAATTAGATGATAAAGCAATGTCCTTTTTTCTCTTCCTGGTTTCCATTTTTCTTATCGCCCCTTGTTTCGGAGCAGGTGTTAGGTGGGACATTAGATTTGTGTTGTGAGAGCTCTGTAGTTACTGCATGGAGAATGCTAAAACCCCTGATAAAACCCTAGAGGCCGAGAACCCAGATGGGAAAACCCTGAAAGCTGGAAACTTTAAGACCATGGAGTTGTTGGGCCAAGCTACTGGCTCTTGTCCTGAGAAATGCGGTGCTGTGGAGTCTCAGTCGGAGGCGCTGCCAGAAGGAAATGGTGAAAAATTGATTGTAGGAAATGGTGTCTGTGAAGGAGAGGAATTTGAAAGTGGTGATCTGACCTCCGTGGTTGTTCCCCAAGTGGTTAATGGTGGTCATGCTCTTGAAGTTGAAAAGGTCTCGTCTTTAAGAGATTGCGCTGATGGGGAATTTGAGAGTGAGGAGCATTCGAGGGATAGAGTTTTGCAGAAGGAGGATGATTCTCTGGCCAGTGATGGAGTGGATACAGGTAGGAATGTGAATGTTTCAGTCAATAACATATCACTGTATGTGGAGCTTCCTGGCCCTCTTGATCAAACTGGTTACCCCAAAGATATGAATTGTGTTGGTTCGACCAAGGATTTGGCAAAGAAAGAGTGTGAAAAAGAGCCAATTGAGCGGTTCTGTGTAGGGGATGTAGTGTGGGTTAGAACGAAAAACCAGTCTTGGAGGCCAGGAAAGATTTGTGGCGACTCTAATGCAACGATTTGTTCTAAAGAAGGTCAGCGGATCAACTGCCATGTAGTTCAGTATTTTGGGGCTAGCCATGTCACTTGGTGCCCACCATCTGACCTAAGGCATTTCCATGACAATTTTGATCAAATGGTAGAGGGAAACAAGGGTAGAAACTTAACTGGAGCAGTAGAGAAAGCCATGGATGAGTATGTGAGATGTTTGAAGTCGGAGATCAACAGTTCTTGCATGGTCAAGCAAGAAGATGGTGGTAGCGGCAAGGAATGCAAGCATTTACAAGAGTTCAGATTTAGTGAATCAGTGACAAAGTTTGAGCCAATGACATTTCTTTCTCGGGTCAAACAACTTGCTGTGGCTGTTAGCAAACCTTCTATGCTTGAGTTGGCACTTGCTAAAATTCGGGTGGAAGCCTTCTCTTGTTTCAGAGGACACTTGCAGGTACACCTTGATGAACTGTGGGAGCAGAGTCCAAAGAAGAGAAAAGGTGGCAAGACTGGGTCAATTACAACAAAAGTCAATGGGAATGCTCTAGTTGGAGATCAAAACTCAACTCAGATTCAAGGGACAAGTGCTGGTCTTAAGGAAACTTTGGGACAAAGTGACCAGGAATCAAGATCAAGGAAAAGAAAGCGTAACCAGTTCTTTGAAATCAACTTCAGGAGGGAAGATATCGGTGAAGATTTGCCGAACTCTCCTTCTACGAAGGAGGCTGGAAACTTGGGTTCTCCATCGACAGCGGATAATCAGAGTTCTGACATGAGAGAAAGGAAGAGGAGCAAGTATTTATCATATCCATATGTCAACCTGGAACATAAAAACAATAGGCCAGATGAAAAGGAAAAACCCAAGATTCCAGAAATGGAAGTTATGAGAGGTGTTTCAAGTGAGGATGTTGTTGGGCTAAGTGGAGCTTCTTCTATATCTTCTAGCAAAAGATTCCAAAAGCAGTGGTTCGAGAATTTCATCAAAGACACAAGTATATCAAGTAAGCCAGAGTTTCTGAGTGCATCGGTCTCCAATTTGTTGTCTGAGCTATCTCGTGCTTCTGTAGATTGTTTGTATCAAAGCAAGAGCAAGAACTTTGCCATAGTAGAGTGGTTCTTTTCGAGGTTCAGAATATCAGCGTTTCATGACGAGTCCATTTATGAGATGCATTGCAAGAACACCACTGGGGATAATGCTGCTGAGATTCAGACACCCCCTGGAAAGGTTGCTGAAGAGACAAGTCAGACTTTGCCACCTACGCAGGTGTGGAAGAAGATGAATGAATCAGAAAATTCAGCTACTACTAATGTCGAAGTTGCTACAAATGGCATGGCAGCAGATACTAACTGTTGCGTAGTCATTCTTCCCTCATCAGATAAAGGGCTTGTACACAATAATGGAAGTGAGGAGCAAGGAACATTTCTGGTAAGTCAGGAGATTGACCAAATCACCAACATACCCGACCTAAACAGCAATGGTGTACCAAATTTGTTGTCTTTAAGTCCACAGGCTGTGACAAAGATACAGGAGAAAGCAACATTGCCAGTTGTGAATGGAAATGTTTCAGAAGCTGGAACATTGTCAGAATGTTTGCAGGGTAGAGGCCCGTTTTCTACAAGTCACCTTCCTGGAGAAGGTAATGTGACATGTTCCCCTACTAGCATTTCGGATACAAACGGTAAGTTAATAAGTTTCGGGTCATCCACGTGGGACCCGCCGCTCACCAGCTGTGATACTGTCAAAGTAGAAGGTAAGCTTGTTCCTAAGAAAAGAAAGAGGGAGGAGACCCCAGTTTCAGAACAGGTTATTTCTGCTGCTGCTGGAATTCCTGATTTAAATGGGGGACTTAATGCTGAAAATGGGACATCCGCAAATCTTGGGGCGAAGAGGGGAAGAGGAAGAGGAAGAGGAAGAGGAAGAGGAGGTAATCCAGGGAGACTAACAAAGAAATATGCCCCCAGCGTACCATTTGAAAAATACAGCAGGAAATGGTTTAATGGAGAACCTCCAAAAGAGCCAGAATCACGGCCTTTGCATAACCCTGGTGCTCCGCCACAAGTCTTCTTCACAAAGGCTGCTGATGGTGATAAGTCATTCAGGAGCAGCCTAGAGAAGGGTAATAATCCTTTTGGCGGAACCCCTGTGAGTTCCCAGCTTCTTCCTGTTGCAGCTTCCCCAACATCTCATTCCAAGGGAGAGTTGAACACCACGGGAATGCCAGCAGCACCTAAAGCTGCGGTTGCACCTCCCATCGACGTCATAAGGCAAAATCTGGCGATGATGACATCAATGCTGCAGAAATCGGGAGATGGTCTTTCACCTGAGATGAGGAGCAAGTTGGAGAGTGAGATAAACTCTCTTATGAAGAAAGTCAGCTCCATGCCCAAATCTTCCTCCTCCACCTCCTCTTAAACGAGAATGATGTAGAAATGCAGATCCAACCGATTCTGTATGTAACCTCGTTTAGGCTGTTCATTAGGTAGGAACAATAAGCTCTCTCTAGGCAGTTTTCAGTATGTAATGAGGATTGAGAGGAAGCTGGCTTAGTTTTACTCTCTATGCTCTGTTGTTTTCTCCTCGCTAAGAGGATGGTTTTAGAGCAATGAACAAGTGATGAGCATTTATGATGTTAGTCATCTTATAATCTTATGCCCCTGCTGAACTTTGTTTTCATTTTTGGCTGAGTTTTTCTATGATCCTTCCTATCATGGGCGTTCATTGTATGAAATAAACCGCGCACTCAAATCGTAAAGTAAAACCTCTGAGTCCCAGTGGAAATCAATCAAACAAAAACTTTCTAATATCGATAATCGATCCAGTTGGAGCTACTTCAAAAATACAGCATTGTTGTCCCATTTTTGCATCTGCTAGTTATTCAACTCATCTTTCTGGCAATTCGATATCAATCTAACAAGATCAGAAGAAAAGATCGAAAAAGCCAAACGAAAGTGTAACGAAAACAACTGCTCAAAGCTTGATCACTCCATGACAGCGGACCCACCAGCAGCTTTGATCTTCTCTATGATGCTATTGGCTTCATCTTTGGTGACTCCTTGTTTAAGCAAAACGGGCACCTTCTCAACCAACTCTTTGGCCTCTTTCAATCCCAAGTTGGTAAAAGCTCTGACTTCCTTAATCACCTTAATCTTAGCAGCTGCATCAAACTTCTCAAGCTTCACATCAAACGCGGTCTTCTCCTTCTTCTCCTCAACCTTCGCAGCTCCTGCACCAGCCCCTCCTCCTCCTGCTGATCCCAACTCCATTCCTTCTGTAGAGATCGTCTCGAGCTTCGGATGGCTCAGCTTGAGCCCCAGAGCAGGTCCAATCTGGCGCCGTTCCTCGAGTGGCAAGGCTGCAATCTGCTCTGCAAGCTGAACAATCTTCTCTGATGGAGGAGGCCGGGGACCATACGGATCATAGAAAGCTGGGTACTTGTACTTCGTGGGCTTGACCGAAGGTTCTCTAGGAACGAAGTCGTGCTGGAAACACCTAACCTGCAAGAACCCATTAACTTCAAAGCGGAGACTTGCACGGGAATGAACCGCTGCTCTTCTCGCAATAGCAATTAGCTTCATGGATCTGGTGAATCTAAGAGCAGGCAATCAATGATTCCTTCACAGGTTGTATTACTTCACCGGAGAACTCCCCTAGACGAAGCAGAGGGTAAGAAAACTCAAATTAGTAAAAGCCTTGTACCCGCATCATCATGGAACTGTAAGAGAAGCATGTTGGGGAACTGGAAAAATGATGCTACTGTGTGAAAATCTACTGAATTTGGTCATTTGGCATAGAGATTATATCATTCATTCTTCATTTTCTCAACCCTATCTCTGATGGGTTGTCTATCGGCTAACGGTAGCGCATCCCAATCGTGCAGGAATTGTACAATGAACACAGAACTGAGAAAACCTAGTGCAGCTCGACTGAAATCAATTAATTAGAGAGGGGAAGCAGGGACACTGCATTACCTCTCGTAGAGGGGGCGAAGACGCGTCGGAGGAGGATGGCGATTGAGAGAAGCCGACGAACGAGAGTGGCGGCGAGGGCGAGCCGGAGAGAGGAAGACGGCGGAGTGGGGGGACCGGCGGCGAGCGATTGCAGGGAGGGTATTGAGGGGAGGGGACGGCAGGTAAGTCGGAGCGGGGAAATGCCCTGGCTGGGTTTTTGTTGTCAAATACAAAATTGTCGTGTCAGTCCCCGGATAGGAGTTTTGTGAGAAATTACCGTATAGCTCCCAAATATTTTACTTTGTACATATTGGCCAGCTTATAAACTTTTCAAGTTTTGTTTCAGATTTTCATTGTTGTCTCAAACCGGTGACCTTGGTTACTTGGTTTGGAACTTAGGAGTTAGGATTAGTAACATGTTTAGGATTGAGTTGTCAAACCGGTTACCAATTGCAAGAATATCGTATGTTTGACTGAAAGTAAATACTAATTATTAGTTCACTTTAATTAAAATAAAGTAACAAATAACAGAACGGGTTTGACGTGAAAGTAAGTAAGAATTTGGTTGGTGGTTTTTGAAAAGCATTAGGTTCAGTGCTTTGAGATTGAGTTGTGTTCCAGTTGGGACTAACAAAAAAAAGAAATAGAAGAGAGGAAGGAAGGAAAGTAATGATGAATGCAAATTGGGTGAGGGATAATTAGGGCACAATTTTTACAAAATTTTCCTCCAATAAAAGTCATCTAATTTTTCTTGACGCTCACATTTCAAGCGGAGGGTCGTAAATACTCTTCACGTTTTTTTCGAATTCAGATTTTTTTCTCATTGATTTTTATGGTCGTATTAACATAGTTTTTTTTTTTTTTTTTTCATTTGATGGTTCCTTTCCAACACTTAACATTTTCAGTCTGCACACAAATCCTGTTGAAGAATCATTCCGTTCTCTCCAGAGAACATGAAACTCTGAGAACTGTATCCAAACTTCATTAACATTCAACGTCTAACGTTTCACATATCAAATCTCAAATGAAAGGTTTCCACCAGGAAAGGGGGAAAAAAGTCTCCATTGAAGACAAATATGCAAGCTCCGCATCCTCGATTCATACATTTCAAAGACCATTAGATTGTGCGTGTCTATCAAGTTATGCGCTATACCACAATCAACTTGATATAAGAAAAACAAAACCCATCAGTCATAACATCCGATTACAAAACAAAAAGGACACCCGGTTACACGAAGGATAACCTCAACACAAGGCACCAGAGAGCTAAAACATAGCTAAACATTTCCACAACTCATCACTGAGCAGCAGCCTATCTCTTTACATCACTCGCAAGCCCTTTTATTATTTCGCCTACCATGGACCGAGAAGGGTTCTCGCTCTAGCAGGAAATACTTCTGGTGATCACATGGTCAATATACACATCTTCAAGCTTTAGCAGCTTCCTGCAGAGGTGCATCAGCTGCTTCAGTACCGTTCGATTTTGCACGCTTTGCTTGGTAATCCTTGACAGCCGCCTTGATGGCATCCTCCGCTAGCATGCTGCAGTGGAGCTTAACAGGCGGCAGGGAAAGATGCTTGGCAATTTGACTGCAGTTAAGAAAACACAGTTAGAAAATTTGACACATCAATACCATGTCTCCTACACCTCTTCCATGGTAGTATTGCAATGTAATGGATGAGAGAAATCCACACTATTCCCTCGCCCTTGATTCTGTGGTACTTCCATTACATGCAATCATCCATATACATACACATACAAGCAATCCTTTGTAATTTAAAGAACGAGTGAACAAGGATGCTATTTATACTCTAGGAACCATAATACAGCAGCCTCCTGCAACTAAACATTCAAAATCTGTCTGAGCAAGAACCAAAAATACAGGCCTACTGCATCCACATAAGTTCAAAGCATTCCATATAATCACATCGCTGATTCAAGGACATACAGAGCAATGGACCTGAAACCTGACTTCCAAATCAGACAAAAGCCTAGTCTTTGTGCCAACATGAGAGAGACGCAGAGTTCTCCCTCAAAAAAACACATAATAGGATGACCTCAAGAAACATTGACCGGAGACATGATATGAATCACAGCAGTTCAGATAGGAAACTTAAAACCCAGAAGGATTACATTTCACAAGCAAATATTAAAAGACGCAATGGATTAATATGAAAGGGAATTCAAAAGAAAGTGATAATCTGGCCACACCGACACCTTAAGTTGACGTGCATATGAGACAGTTCATCAGCTATGGCACGAAATAACAGAGCTATTTAATTATTTGAAGCGCCCGAGATTGATTTGGGGCAGGCTCTCCAGCAAGACAAGCGCTGGACAGGATGAGTTAAAGGTTATTCGTCATCTCCTAATTTCTAGCCATGATCAACATTCATAAAACAAAGCACCCAAAACCTCCTTCAAACTCGAAATCCCTACACTTCGTTCCCAGAATCCAACATGATTCTCCCTTCCCATAACCCTGCCAACGAAAAGCCATAACCTCACACAGCCTAGCATATCCAATGAGCAAGGAACCCATCAACAGAACGATGCAAATTGGCAACCGTTTCAGAAAGGAGCATAAATCAAATCATTCAATTCACTGAAAGGTAAAACGAAAGGGCGATCCACTTACGTATTCTTGATGGTCAAAACTTCCTCCATCTGCTTTCCCTTCACCCACTCAGAGGCTGAAACAGCGATTCCAAATAAACATCACAAAATCAGAACAACGGGGGTTGCCCCTCAAAAGGTACCATAAATCATCTTAATCAATATCAACAACCACCGCACAAGACCAATTAAACGAATTAATAGAAACCCCCGAAGTTCCCCTTTCGTCGAACACCTTACCTACAGAAGACGACGCGATTGCGGAGCCACAGCCGAAGGTCTTGAATCGAGCATCCACGATCTCCCCCGTCTTCTCATCGACCCTAATCTGCAGCTTCATCACGTCGCCGCAGGCCGGCGCCCCGACCAGCCCGGTGCCGACGGCGGGATCGTTCTTGTCGAAGGAACCGACGTTGCGAGGGTTGTTGAAGTGGTCTATCACGTTCTCGTGATAGAATCGGGTAGCCACAGGGCGAGACGACGACGACGACGACGACGCCGCCGCTGCACGGCCCAAAAACTTGTGCGCCGCTAGCCTCAACATCGTTTTTCGCCGGTAGAGATTGGAGAATTTCCGATTTGAATATGGCGGAGGAAGGATGGAGGTTTTGCTTCTTTTGGGTGTGTGTTTGTAAGGGCTACGGCTGTTTGGATCGTATGGCGGTGGATGACGGAGAGGGACACGTGGAGGGAAGAGATGGTCCTAGAGGCTTTGAGAATATCTGACAAGTGGAGGAAGGGTTGTGCTGTTTCCGGGATTATTGGATGAGGACGGAGCACGTTGAAAGAGGGGGTACCGCCATTACTTAGCATTGGGCTCGGGCTAGGTTATGTGCCTGTTGAATCTTATATGGGCTGGCTAGAGTTTGGGCTCGAGCATTAGAGCAAAATGGGCCCAATTTGTTAATAACGCGCGTTTGAGAAGGTGGATCAAGTTAATAGTAGCCCATATGGAATAAACTCGTTGGTTCGCGCCTAAGTGTGGCTAGGGATGGCAATGGGCGGGTTTGCCTAAACCATCCCCATCCCCATCTTCAAATACTCAAACCCATACCCGCCACATACCCATGTGGGGGAATGTTTTGCAAACCCATCCCCATACCCGTGGGTTTCGGGTACCCATGGGTAATACCCATCCCCGTACATCCAACATTATTATACCTAAAACTTACAAGAAAAGTTTTAATTATAACCATAAACAAACTTATTATATCACGAAGTCAACAAAACACGGTCATTTTCTAAATACGATTCAAAGAATATGATCCTAAAACATCCATTAATACATAATATAGACTATAATATTTTTTAAATTATTATGCTCTAACTCTTGATACATTTACTAAGTAATAATTAACTAACATAATTTTGTTGACAAGGGGGAAAGTGAAAGAGTGGAAGGAGAATTGAGGGAAATGAATTAGGTTTTGATTAAGGTGGTTACTTAATTGCATTTCTACTATTTATTTTCTCGAGTTATCATCATCATCATTGATAGATTACAATTTAATCCACGTATTTTTTGATATGTGAAGAAATTCTCTTGGTGGGGCGGGTATGGGTATGGGTATGGGGCGGGGGAGGCTAAAACCATACCCGCCCCATACCCATCAAACCTTTTGCGGGTTTTACCCATACCCGGTCAAAGCGGGGATTCCCCGCGTTGACTGGGTATGGGGCGGTCGGGTACCCGCGGCCATGGGTTTGATTGCCATCCCTAAGTGTGGCTTTATTTGGGGTCGTTTGGAAGTTGCGATTGTTAAATATATGTATTGTTGAGAATGTATGTATAATATTATACATGTATTGTCGAATTTGATGCATTGTAGAATACAACGTTTGGTATGTGTGATTGTGTATGTCGCATCAGGTAAAAGCTGAGACAAAACAATCTCAACTCAACTATCTCAACAATCACAACTAAAAGTTGAGATATAACAATCACTCAAAATGAGTGATAGTTTCTGTCACATCACAGAAACAATCCATGTATTGTTTATGTTAAAAAAACAAAAAAACGATGCATTGTAAACAATACATGCATAATGACAATCTCAACAAAACTATCGCAACTTCCAAACGACCCAGTGACAGCCGAAGAGCTAAGCCGGAAGGTTATTCAATTGGTCGTTTTGCTAATCAAGTTTAAAATGAAGTTAGGGTCAGGGTATCAATAGTACTTATTATGAGCAAAGGATTGAAAAACTTTACCATATCAACAGTTCAATCAGAAAAACATCTTATTGGAAGATAATTTGATAGGTGGTATTTGGTATGAAACAGTTGAATCACGATTTATCATAAAATACCATAGGACTTACTTTTTCAGTAGAATCTCCAATACGGTTTAACAATCATTAATTAGGAGTGAGCCTGGACATTCTTAAAATTTGGGAAAATGTTTATCAATCTTCTTAATTGTAATTTCAGGTTTACCGGAAAAAAAGTACTCGATTTGTCATGTGAATCTTAAAAAAAAAAACATATTTTTGTTCAACTATTCACATCCAATCTTCATGAAGAGATACTATCTCAACCCCCTCTTATCCTCCCCTCTCCCCTCTAATTAGAAGATGGAAATATTTCGTAGTGAACATAAAACTGTTTTATCCTCTAACCGATAAATCTTTCCATATAGATTGTACTCTTACGAGTCAGAGGTGGACAATTACCGATTTTGACTCCACAAGTACATACAGTGGCGGACCCAGAAAATTTTCATAGGGTGTCCTCTTTTAAAAAAATAAATTTAATAAAAATAAAATTGTAAATAAGAAAATACCTTACTTGTACAGGTTTAAAAAGTCCATTATGTTTTTTTAACATAGTAGAATACAATTGGTGTCTGTAGTGTTAAAAAAACTGTCTCTATATACCCTACTAGACAATCATTCACGAACTTATCGCATATTCGATTTGTAAACTTGTTCTCGATGTAACCCAAAGCTGAAAGAATCTTTCAACACTTGTCGTATTAAGGGTAGCTTGAAATTAGTTTAATTGTTAGGTTTTTAAAATAATTAGAGATAGGAAATGACATTTTACTATTACATTTTTCAAAATCGAACAACAAATGAGTTGTAGGCATGGTAAATTAAACCGGATCGGACCGGCCGGTTGAACCGGTAAAACCGGATTTTGGTGCCTGGCCGGTACGACAGACGTGTTGGGGGAAAGCGCCGTTTTGGTCGGTTTGACCGGCACAACCGGTTCAACTAAAAATACCGCCCGGTTTTGGTCTAACCGGGGGTGAGCTGATAAAGTGGAAACGGCGTCGTTTTGCATTAAGGGGGGAAAAAAAAATCGACCGAAGCCTAAAACCAAAACCCTAAATCACGCTTCGTTTGCTGCTGCCGCTGCGATTCTCTTCTTTTCGAGAATGCGACCCTGCCTCCTCTGCCGCTGCGATCCTCCTCTGCTCGACGACCGGAGAGGCGGAGACCCTGCCTCCTCTGCCGCTGCGATTCCTCCTCTGCTCGATGACCGGAGACCCTGCCTCCTCTGCTCGACGACCGGCGGTCCTCCCTCCTCTGCTCGACGACCGGCGGTGCCTTACCTTTACTTCAATCTCACGCTGTAAGTTGATTCCTTTATTTTTGTCGTTTCACCTGTTTACGTGGTATGAATTGGGAATCAGATGAATTGATCGGGAATTTCGAATTGATGAGATGGTTCGTGGTGTGGCAAATACTTTGTGCAATTGGCAGCTACTTGCAAAGGAAGCACTTGGTTGATGTGACGGAGATATATAACCAGCTGAGCAGGGAAAAAACAAAAAAGCCAGAGGCTTTTCAAGCTGGCTACCTCGTCATTCTATTAGTCCTTTCTTTGTTCTGGTAATGTTGAATAAAAAAACCATGCTTCTGGGATATCTCTAACATTGTTGGGGCAGGGGCAGTCCTAATGTTTGGATTTGTTTTGTTAGGTTGCTTTGGACCATCGCGGGGGAGGAATTTGATTAAACTTTGACAAAACCAAGGTATCCATTCTACTTCAATTAAGCCTATTTGTTCATTCGTTTGAGCCCTGTCCGTTTCTGTAAGGAAGGAAGTTGATCAATCTATTTGTTCATTCGTTTTGACAACAATGACTAGTGGAAAAGAAGCCGGATCGGTTGATAAAGGAGCAACTGCTAGTAATCCGAAGGTTACCGCAAAGGGTGTACGAAGCAAAAGTGATCCAACTTGGGCTCATTGTTCCTTGCATCAGGATGGAAAAGTGGAGGTACTCACTTGTCTCTATTGTCAAAAAGAATTTAGAGGCGGAGGAATCACTAGTTTATTCAGGTAATGTTGCAGTTTGTTGAATTTTATATTACATATGCTTATTTAGTTTATTCAGGTTTGTTATCCGGTACCGAGACGGTATCACAAATCTGCCGGTACGGTTTTTTCACAAAAAAATATTATTTATTTACAAAAACGGTATTTTGCCGGTACACAACGATTGAACCACGGTAGTACCACAAAATACCCTACCACTGGCGGAGCCGGTATGACTTCCGGTACGGTTTCCTTTACCATGGTTGTAGGTCAACGAAAATTAAGTTTATTAATAAGAATAGTGTTCTAGATTTGAATTATCCAATCTACCACTTATATTCCTATACACAAATGACAGTAGGATAATCATGCTTTCAAATTTCAGGGGTGTCCCTCACTATCAATTATATATTTTTTTGTCCATACGTAAATTACCACCGGGGGTTGGATAATCGTATTCCCAAAATTTAGGGGTGCCCCGGGTCCGCCCCTGAGTACATACGTGAAAAATTTTAATCTATCAACTAATTAACTTTTTATCTAAAAACATAAGACGATCGATGATATCTGAATGATAAAGTTATCCGCGACGAACATCTAGCATACCAGCTAGCTTGTAGCCTGTGATGGATCGATTATCATTGCAAATCATTGTCATCAAAGCTAACGTGAGCAGCTTCACTTTAGAGAGAGAGAGAGAGAGAGAGAGAGAGATGAATCATCGTTATCCCTTTGACGCCACGATCGAGCAAAGGCCCTTTAGCTTAAGCTTAGCTAGCTAGCTTTACATGGCCGAATGACGATTGAGGGAAAACCAACCAGCAAAGGTGCATATATAGGCCGGTGGTGTGATTTGATTTCTGCCTATCTATCTGGATATTCAATGGCCGGCGGGCGCACCTTTTTTTTTTTAACTAAGATGAAGATGAATTACTACCTCATGCGTCTTCTATAATATACTTGTTTCCTTCTCCTTGTCTTCTTTTATATAATATATAGGATGCATTATTTATTGACAAAGAACCGACTTGCGGTTGTTTAAGCGTCACCTCGATCGATTGGGTGGTTGCAATAATGATAGAGTAATATTTGACCTTCGAAACTGGCTGTACGTCATATTGTTAGATGCATGTATCACTGGTTAATTCTCATCTGCCGCCGTCATCCGCGCATCTCTCCCCCATAATGTAAGCCGCGGATTTCAGGCGACAAGTGGATCCAGGATAACCATCATTTTTCATATTCTATTATCAACTAGCGTGGCCCCGGCCATTTGGCCGGACGAAGGTGAGGTATGAAATTTGATAATGTAATGGGGCGTATAACTTATTGATGTATAGTTTTTTTTTTTTTTTGGGAAACACGTGATAAAAATAGTGAATTTTAATAGAAAAGAGACATGAATGATGCAACGAATAAAAAATCAGTCTTATGAACCAAAATCAAGTACATGTTACCTTGTGAAACAATATTTTTTCTGGTAATATGATGAGGTGGAGTAAGTTTTATAGAAACCGAATTCCAGAAAATCGAATAAAAAATCGCATATCCCGCCGATTTTCGGGAAATGAGCATCTCACAATCGTTGCTAGCTTTTACTCGGCCCATTGGCCGATTAATTTGCTTTATAAAACTTTCATCTTCTCATCATTGTGTTTTCTGGTTTTTTGCCAAGCCATGATAAAATCTAAAGAAATCAAGAATGAACAGCACGATTTGGGATAGGAACCACCGTTCCTGTATCCCTAGAAAATGGTGGTAAACACGGACTCACCTGCCAAACTGGTTTGGATTGAGATTTTTATAGGGTATCAGAGAACCATGTGATTATAAATTAGACTTGATCAAAATGGGCCAAAACTTGAAATTCAGCTTGTTTGACCGACCCATGCCAAACTCTAATTATTCTTTACTTTTAAACTTTATATTTGAAAATAAAAAATAATGAAAGAAAAGAGATGACTGCAATTCACCATTTGCACATCACTGATTCGGGAATAAAACTATAGAATTTCGAAAGGAAACTGAAAATGTTTAGGATCGTTTTAATGTTAAAAATAACCAAATAGATCTTTCTGTTTAGTTTTTTACTAACAAATACCAAACGATTCCCTATAATATACACTATAATTTAATCATTATCATATCAAATAATTACATAATATATATTTGAAATGATAAAAATTGGACTAATTGAGTTGGTCGAAGTTGAACCATTGAATAACTTTAAAATACATTATATTTTAGCCACTAAGATATAAAATAATAGCATAGTATATATTATGCTTGAGAAAATAGCTTGTTTTAGAATGACAAACCCATGATGTTCATTTGTTTTACTTGATGGGCAAATCCCATGTAGGTCAGACCCGTTCAACTCTTTTATTTTATGATTAGCGGTTAGCCCATTAGAATCCATGCATTAGTTTATTGTTAATTTTTTTCTTTTTAGCAATAAAAAGGAGTATTGATTTTGCCTTTTCATATATATATTTTACCACAATGGAGAAATAAAAGGACTTTAAGAAAAAAATTGACACTCCTGTACCCGTTTAAATCCGCATGTGTACGGTAAGTTGGCCCGTTCCACAGAGAAAAAGAAAAATATTGACACTCCCTATTCTACTCTTCCTACAAACGCTCCTGGAGCAGGGAATTTTAAATGGGGGAAGAGTTTTTTCCTCTCTGCAATTATATGTTTTTAATTTAAAAAGATACAACAAATGTACTTAGTGTGATTGGTTATGATCTTGTTTTTCTTTAAAATGGTCATGGTTCGAATCCTAGTAAGTGTCTTTTTAATGAATAAAAAAAGTAATTGTGAAGACCAAAATGTCCTTCCTACTTTCACTCTGGATGCAGGAAATTTGAAATGGGGCTTCAAGTTTTCTCATTTGGCTTTTATTTATTGTGTAGATAGATGTAGATTAGTCAAGGTTAATTAATTTCTCAAACCACCCAATACCCATATGCGAAAAAACAACGTAACCCTAATGAGGTTGGTTACTTAAGGGACCAAGTTTGTATGAATTCAGGGTTACGTAGAATTCAACAGCACAATTCTATATTGATTAGGAAAAAATAAAATAAAAGATTTAACGGTCTATATAATTAAGTGTAAGAGAGAAACTAGTGGTTTTTTTCCCAGGGAAACAGTATGGAGAAAATGGATTGAAGGCGTGATTTTGACCACTCTTCTTAGAGTGTTTATTTGCCCCCACTACGTTGTTGCTGGTAGGATTTAGGCAAACCACCCCCAGGAGTCCCTCCAATCAAAGTCAGAAAGCAGCACCTTTCGTGACTTCTGTGTTTGTGTTTTTGGAGAAGGAAAAACGAGGAGAAGAAGACGAACGTTGGACGAGAAGTTTGGCTGCAGAAGACTTTTATAGTGAAAACGGCAGTTCCCTTTTGAAGGGTTACGTCGTTTCACAAAAGTCAAATAATTATCCGGATTAATTAATTAAAATAATTCCGGTAATTAAATAGCTCACACTTTTTTCAAAAGCACACTTTTATCCAATAACTAAAGTGGAAAGCAAACTTAAAAACAACTTGCACTTTTATTCTCCCACCAATGTGGTATTTTTCCTTTACTCTTTGACTACTCTAACATTCTTTACAGCCGGCGTATTTTCATCATGAGGGCCGTCATGGTGAGCTGATACGAATTTTCAAGTGACATATACGAATTTTTTTCAATAGTTTATAAGAGGACAATTCTCGCACATTTTGCGAATGAGGCCGTGACCCCGAATGGTCATGTCACTGGCTTTCAACCTGGAGCCCTCAGATTCTAATAGCATAAGGAAACAAAATGGTACAAAACATAACAAGAGTCTCGATCTCCGCTGCAGGTAGCTAGCTTACGTACAAGCTAAGCTAGGTAATTATTCTGGCATGCATGTTTAACGGTGTTGGCCGATCGGTCCAAACAATAATTTCTATGCACCTTTCGGAGGTCCACTGCCCTTTCACTTTAATTCCCCCACTACACAGAAGACTAGCATTAGTGACCAAAATTAGCCATGTCGGCTAACAATCGTCGCTAAAAACTGACAAATTTTTTAATTTCGTCAGTAATGTTTCGCTAGCTAGTTGTGTATTTGTGACAAAAGCTGACCTCTTCTGTAAAGACAAAATTCCTTCGTCACTACGGTCATTATTTCGAGGGAAATTTTGGCGCCATCATTACTTGTGACAAAAAATTTGTTTTCATCGGTAATGTTCCGTCAAGTAGTTGTGTATATGTGACCAAATCTATAGCTCGTCAAAAAAGACAATAATTCTCGTTACCAAGCCCTTTTTTATAGGAAAAGTGGACTCATCATTGTTTGTGACGAATAAGACTATGTCGTAAGTAATACTTGGTCAAGTGTTTGTTTTTATCTTGTTAGTACGACTGGAAAAAAAAATTGTTAGTTGTTGGCCCCATGAGTCAAACTTAGAGTATGATGAATGTTCTCATTTTCATATTACTACTAGGTCAATCCCTTGAAATTTACTAAAATATTAATTGGTTTCGAAGATTATACTAATATTTTTTTATGAATAAGCAGCTTTTATTCATCAAGAAAGAGGGATTTCATGATAAAACCCCTCTAACTGGAACCCAAGGACCAAGTACAAAGAGTAACAAAAACCCGCAGATTAAACCAAAACAGAACAAAAACCAGACTATCTAACTACACTCTCAATCTACACTATACTATTTACATACTCCTCTAAAACTGCAAGCTCAAC